GGAAACCCAAGGAGGGGTCACTATGAGTCAGGTCCAGCTCAATGGCACATAACAACAACAGTGGTGTAATAGATAAGGCATTGTACGCTAACTGAAAGGTCAGCAGTTCAGACCCACCAGGTACTCCGTGAGAGGAAAGTCAGAGTCAACTCAGTGGCAGTGGGTTTGATTTTTGGTTTTTACACATAACGGTGGCCTAGTGGTGCAGTGGTTAAGCACTCATTTGCTAACTGAAAGATTGATGGTTCAAACCCACCAGCCACTCTGTAGTAGAAAGATGTGGCAGTCTGCTTCTCTAAAGAGTATGGCTTTGGAAACCCTGTGGTGTGGTTCTGCTCTGCCTTGTAGTCTCTGGGACTTGCAGCTGTCTTGATGGATTTGCGTCTGTGTCGTACGTATATATGTGATTGATGATTCTAATCACAGTTTTCACTATTTTTAACTTTGTTTGATATGTACTCTACTATTTTTCTAAGTGGTCTGTTTATCATGTAGTGTTTGTTGACGTCACTGTCCCCCAGGACGTTGAGAGGGTTTTAAGCTGTTCTCCTTTATGAAGAGCATTCTTGGTGCCTTGCTCCTTGTGTACAAGTGTGAGGACGTGTGTGTGCTTAAGTACATGAATGACCGGTGTGTTTTTTTCCTACCTTTGCAGGAGTCTCATAAATGTTGTTATATAAATGTGGTTATGGCTCTCACCCACCCATTTTGAAAAGACCAACCCTTAAAAAATTCTGAATTATATGCTATCACATTAACAGCCATATCTTCTTTGGTTATTTGCATTAGTTGTTTTCCACTGAATTATAAAATTGTATAGCTGACAACGTAACAGTATCACTTCTCTGGCATTTTCAGATTATTAAATCCGTCGGCTCTTCCATAGCCCTAGTTTCCAAGTTGAACTCTTTTTACCATTGCTGAGAATTCTTTATCTCAGAACTTTGACTTACTTGTTCTGGCTGCATTGTTCCTTCTGTTTTAGACACTTAATCGGTAATTTACTCCTAACTTTGTTTTGGAAGGGGCCTTCCTGGTTCAGTGATTAAGCATTTGGCTGCTAACTGAAACGTCAGCAGTTCAAATCCACCAGCCGCTCCTAAGGAGAAAGCTGTGGCGGTCTGCTTCTTTAGTGATCCCAGCCTTGGAAACCCTACAGGGCAGCTCCACTCTGTCCTCTAGGATTGACTCAAGGGCAGCAGGTTTTGCTTTCCATTTTGTTAGCTTGTTCTTAGGATGCATTAGCTTCTCTTGTATTATGTTCAACTTTTAGCTTGCTGTTTGCCATGCTTGACTCTGGCGTACACCTAGTTCTCCCAGATTCTTAGCAAAACGAGAAAGGAGGTGGGAGTGGTGGCCAAAGATGTTTGAGGAATGTTGCACAGTGGAGGTGTTTCATGTGCCTAGTTAGCTTGCACAGGCTCAGCAAACAGAGGAGAGCTGTGTAAATTGTAGGCGTGCTTCTGCCTGTTTTTTCCTGTGCTAATATGCTCTGGAGTGAGCAGAAGATGGAAGCTTATCTGTCAGTCCCGCGGTCAGCCTCCAGTCTTGCACGCCTCTCCCGGTGTGATCCTTGCAACTGGGCTGAGAGTGACTCCAGAATCTGAAGATGCCACGTGACCCCACACATTAGCCACCTGTCTCCCTCTGGTGCTCAACCAAAGGAATAGCAGTCTTTGTATTAGAGGAAGAAATGGATTAGCGATCGGTACTATGTCAATTTCCCATAGGCGAGCCTTTGGAGCGTTTGTCAAGGCTAATTTTGACAACATGTGATTTGCACATCGCATGCTCAGTTTAGATTCTGACTGCCATTTGAGATTGGATTCCATAGTATGTCTGCCTCTTTTCCTCAGCAGTTCACAAAGCACATAGTTTGGAATGTATTAGAGGCATATTGAAGAAGCATTGCAGTAAAAGAATGTAACTGTGGTTTACCATTACTTCACAAGTGGACGGAATGACCCTGGAATCTTCTGTATGATGTTTTATTATCCCATGGAGCGGCCTTAGGGAACACCTTCGGAAATGCTGTTTAAAGCAGTTATATTTGAATACATGCACAGAGCTCAGTCTCTAACTATAAAAAATATTGTAATTTAGATAAATGATCGAAGCCAGCACAACTCTTCTGTATCGGCAGAAGCCTTCACTCTGGGTTTTGGTACGGCTGTTCTTAACTGGGCGACTGCGGTGAAGTGTTTATTGTTACCCTTTGCAGGGAAGCTGCTTGAGCAGAGGAGGCACGGTGACGCAGCCACAGTTCTGGAGCAGTACGCCCAGGTACACTCCCTCCCGGGGCTCCCTTGCTAACCAGCAAACTCTCGCAGCTGTACCTTCCTGGTCATGACCATTAAAGGAATAGTGGGTAATTGGCAAGTCTGGACAGAGTATCTGCCTTGCTGGCTTGACTTGGGAATCAAATTCAGTGCATCTCTAAGTAAGTGTAAGTTCTGTGGGGTAGACTACCAAAGAGGTGCGCCATCATACGTACTAGGGCTTTGATCTTGGTAGAAAGCACTAAATTAAATCTCAGGGTAGCTCAGCTTTTTATGTTAACGTTGCCAAAGTAGAAACAGTGAGAAAAGACCTTTATAAACCAAAGTAATTGAATCTTTTTGTTTTGGTTTTCACGCCCCCTCTCAGTTGCACTTCAGGAAGCTCGAGAGGTTCCAGGTTTCCAGCAGATGATGAGGACAAATACTCACATGAGCTTTTGATAGAATTACAGGATTTATTTTGGAAATAATAAAACTGCACAGGCAGTGGCCACAGACTAACAGAGCACAGGTTCCCCGGTTGATACAAGAGATTATTGCCTTCCAGAGTTTTGACCTTGAGCAAGAGAGTATTTTTACAGTTGTCACTGGAGAGCACCACCATATATGATACATTTGCATACACAGTTGTGCTTTTAAAAAACTTCAGTGTCTTTCATGCAAATAGGTTGAATAAAGGAAGGTAACTAAAATTTTATATTAGATCCTGGAAAGCTTAGATGTTTGAACAGAAAACCTCAATGAATAAAGCGTGCATAATAAGATAGGAGATTGGGGTTGAGATACCACCTGCTATTGTTATTTGAATTGATAAGGGGCTACCATCTGTTTTTTCTCCTCTGTAAATAAATTCTCTCTCTCTCTCTCTCTCACACATACACACAAATACGTAAAAATTGAAGTATAATTTTATCTAACAATTAATATTCAGATTTTCCCAGTGGTTCTAAAAGTGTTCTTTAGAGTATATTGATGTAAACAGGTTTCAGTCTAGGGCCATGTATTGCATTTTGTATCTTGTGTCCTTTCAAAGCTCTTTTAACCTAATGTCTCCCTCCCCTCCCCTTTGTATGACAACTACTTGAGGAAACCCAGCCAGTTATCTTAGATATGTCATCCTGTTTAAATGGATTGTTTTATATGATACATAAAGTGTTAGTAAATACATGTTTATAATTATAGATAAATAATTATAAAAATTAATCAAAATATTTTTACTGGTAACTGTACAGAATCAAAAACATTTGAAGTCTGTAGGATATACTGGTGTTTGTTATTAGAGTTTTATAGTTTTCTGGAGGTTTTAAATTTTTCAAAGAAAAAAAAGTTTAGAAGATTACTAGTCTAATCTGTCATATTCACAATGTGGTCTTGCTAACAATTCCAGAGCCCACCTGCACTTGCTGGATCAAACTTGTTGGTGAAGCTGGGGAAGTGGGCATTTCTAACAGTTCTGATATTTACTGGTTCTAATGTTCAGGTATATATAGGGAGATGACACTTGCCATGTGCTTTGTCATTGTTCCAGAATATGTATCCCTCCTTTATCTTCTGAGTCAGTGCGTGTTGAACATGGACTCTAGGGCAGGCATGATGCTGAGAACCGGGACTGGGGTTAAGGCTGCGGTGGACAGAGGCAGCCCTGTAGGCAGGTGTAGTTTGTTAGGTGGCATCTGACACCCTTGCTGCATTAGCCTGTTATCTTCCCGCATGTTCCCTTGTCAGGATTATGAAGAAGCTGTGCTCTTGCTGTTAGATGGGGCTGCCTGGGAAGAGGCTCTGCGAATGGTAAGAGAATGTTTTAAATGTCTCCATGAGTTGTGTGCTAAGCCGAGAAAGAGCAAAGCGGACGAGATCCGCTGGAATCCCTTGTCCTGTGAGGCTAGTGAATTCAAGTAGAGCTAGTTCAGGTTCTGGGTCTAAGGGTAGGAAGTGCTATTAAACCCCTTTTTTAAACTTACTTTTGATAATATCAGATTCACAGTGCTGGGTTTTTTTGTCCTGTTTTAAAAAATTTTTTATTGTGATTTGGGTGATAGTTTACAGAGCAAATTCATTTTCTGTACAGCATTTTATACACATTTTGTTTCATGACATTGACTGCAATTTCCAGCAATGTACCAGCTGTCTTCCCACTTCCTCTCAGTAGTTACCTCTTCCCTGTGTCCTTCCTCCCATACACTCCCGCCCCCACTCCCCCTAAGCTCTGTCCCTGTGCAAACACTGCCCTTCTGTTCTCCCACGATTGATCACTCCAGTGACTGTATCTCCCTGATGTAAGTGTTCACCCCATATGCCTGTCTGTTGTTTGGCTGGAAACCACAGGAGTGAGTTCCATTCCAAACCTGAATCACAGTGCTGTTCTTACTGAAATGAGTTGACTATCCTTTGGCCACCTTGTAAAGGAGGCCTGCTCCTCTGAGAAACACCCAGTCACCTCTGAAAGTGACTCATTTCTTCCTAAGAATCTAAACTCTCCTTTGACTAGAAGTCTTTTTGCTTAAAATTATTGTTTTTCCTTTCAGGTATACAAATATAACAGACTGGATATCATAGAAACCAACATAAAGCCTTCCATTTTAGAAGGTAAGGGCCCATTTGTAGATCAAATTCCTCATTTGGACGTGGAGAGGTGAGGCTCTTACTGCATCTTTTAATAATGTATTGTTATGTGGAGTCAATGAAAATTCTCCACTGGATATAACATTTAATTTTGACTGAAATTTTTCAATATGCTAAGCTGTTAAATAATAACAAAATATTTGAATATTTCAAACCCGTGCTTGGTATGTGGGAGTAATAGAGTTAAAAGCAAACTCTGTGTTGGATAATAATAGTATGTGGTCAGTGGTAAGTTTCCTGCATGTAATAACTGTATTGTGATGATGTGAATAATCTTATTTTCAAGAGATACATAGTGATGTATTCAGTGGAGGAAGATCATATCTACAGCTTACCCTTAAAACTTTCCACAAATAAACAGAAAGGAGGCAAATGTGGCAGTGTTAACAATCGGTAAATTTAGAGGAAGGGCGTCCCGATGTTTGTTGAATAAATGTGACTTGATATAGGCTTGAAATTTTACAAAATACAAAAGAAGAACCTTTGCAAATAAGTCCATGATCCCTAGAGAATAGATGAGTGTTGCCAGCTCTAGAATCTTCTGGTGCTCACTGTGACCCCTGAAAAGCAAGGTGGAGAGGAAGGACCTCAGTTTGACTTGCACAGTTCTTTAAGAATTGCTTTGTTAAACAGTCTTTTCTGTAGTAATGTCTGGCTTTTGACATTAACGTGTGTTTGTATTTGTAACCTGCCTGCTCCTGCTTCCCCCTTCCAAATTAAAACAGTGGGAGCGTCTTTCTGTATCATTCATGTGGATACTGAAAACATCCTCTCTGGGCGGCAACAGTCCATGTAGGCAGCTTTTTTTTTTTTGGTCTCTGCCATATACTGTATTTATTTATTAGAAATTTGTATTGTGATCTGGGTGAAAGTTTACAGAGCAAATTCATTTTCCATACAGCAGTTCATACACATTTTCTTTCATGACAGTAACTGCAGTTCCCCACAGTGTAACAGCCCTCACCCCACTTCCTCCCTGTAGTTACCTCTTCCCTGTGTCTTCCCCTCCTGTGCACTCCTGCCCCCCACCGCCAGCTGTCTCTCTGTGCAAACACTGCCCTTCTTTTTCTCAGGATTGATTGCTCCAGGGAGTGTATCTCCCTGATGTAAATGTTCACACCATATGCCTGTCTGTTGTTTGGCTGGAAGCCACAGGAGTCAGTTCAGTTCCAGACCTGGAGGGTAACTAGGGGCCATCGTATCAGGGGTCTCACTGGGTTCTATTGGGCCAGCAAAATAGTCTCAGGGGTCTCACCAGACTCTGTCAGACCAGCAAACCTGGTCTTTATTTCTGTGATTTGGAGTTTTGTTCCACATTGTTCTCCCACTCCATCCAGGATCTCTTGCACTGATTCCCTCCGAGTGGTTGATAGTGGTAGCCAGGCACCGTCTAATTCTGGTTTCATGGTCATATAGGCTGAGGATCACATGGTCTATTAGTCCCTTGGACTAATTATTTCCGTGTATCTTTGGTTTTCTTCATTCTTCTCTGCTCTGGATGAGGAGAGACCCATCGTTGCATCTAGATGGCCATCTAGGCAGCTCTTAGGTAGGTTTTTCTCACCATTGAGAACCTGGGGAAATGCAGATAATTCATCTGCAGAGGCCTAATACCTAAAGATGATAAAATGTCTTTGAATAGTAGTATTTTGCTTTCTTTTATGTATATAGTCTACTGTTGGCATTAATATTTTGTATAGTTTTCCTCTGGGCAATGATTTTAGTTTTTAATATATTTTATTGTAATTTGGGTGAAAGTTTACAGAGCAAATTTACTTTCCATACAGCAGTTCACATGCACTTTGTCTCATGACATTGACTACAATTTACCCCAATGCAACAGCTCCCCTCCCACTTCCTCCTGATAGTTACCTCTTCCCTGTGTCCTTCCCTCCATGCACTCCTGCCCCCTGAGCAGTCTCTCTGTGCGTACACAGCCCTTCTCTTCTCCCATGATTGTTCTCTCCAAGGAGTGTATCTGCCTAATGTAAATGTTAACTCATATGCTTGTCTTTTATTTGGCTGGAAGCCACAGGTGTGGGTTCAGTTCCAGATCTGAAGGGCAGCTAGGGACCATAGTCTCAACGGTTCCACCAGGCTCCATCAGACCAGCAAACCTGGTCTTCTTTCCCCAACCCTGTATGATTTTGACTTTTGTTCCACATTGTTCTCCCTCTCTATCCAGGATCTCCTACATAGATCCCTCTCTGAGTGGTTGACAGTGGTAGCCAGGCACCATCTAGTTCTTCTGGTCTCATAGTCGTACAGGCTATGGATCGCATGGTGTACCGATCTAATTGTTTCCATGAATCTTTGGTTGTCTTTATTCTTCTTTGCTCTGGATGAGGAGAGACCCATCGTTGCATCTAGATGGCTGCTTGCAAGCTTTTAAGATCCCAGTCGCTACTCGCCAAGTAGGAGGTGGAACAGTGTTTTGTGTAGTATGTTGTGCCGGTTGAACTTGATGTCCCCTGCGACTACAGGTTCAACTACTTGCTCCCTCTGGGTAGCTGGTTGTGCCCAAGAAGTGACTACAACCTTGTCCCTTGTCAGCTCTACTATACACCTGGGAATTGTTACAGAACATACAAATACACTTGTAGAACCATTATCTTGGGCAATAATTTTAAGAAATCAATGGATACATTTGTTCAAAACCCATGGGCAGTTTGGGGGGTGATTAGACAAAAGCACTTCAGTGACTGTTGCCTGCTGGTCTGGTGGCAGCTTCCTGTGCACTCACTCCCTTGTTTGTCAGACCACTTCTAGAGTAGACACCAAGTCTCTGTCCAGGGGATTTTAGAAGTGTACCAGAAGAGAGGATTCTGGACTGATGTTGATGAACTCTTGTTTATTTTTTTATATCAAGTATTTCTTAATTTCTTTTGTTGTCAAAATAATATAAGACTAAGAAAAACTATTGGGGGTAAAAAAAAAACACAACTTAGGATTCAGTCAGGTGTTTATTATTTAACCAAAAATTGTTGAAGTAAACAATTTAATAACTTTTCTTTCAAAAGTAATAAAATCATATAAGAAGGAAAATGTATGTTAGCAGCTCAGAGACCCAAGTGCGGGCTCTGCTCTACTTTTTAAATGTTTTCTTTTAATTGTGATTTGGGTGAATTGTTACAGAGCAAATTGGTTGTCCATTCAACAATATGTACATGTTTGTTTTGTGACATTCACTGCAGTCCTCACAATGCAACAGCATTCTTCTTACTTCCTCCGTGTGTTTCCCATGTCCTTTTGTCCCCATTTCCTGTCCCTTCCTGCCTTCTGAGCTTTGTCCCTGGGCACATGCTGCCCTTTTGATCCCATATGGTTGACTGTTCTAATGAGTGCATTCCTTCCTGACGCTATCGTCCACCTTACAGGCCTCTCTATCATTTGTCTGAAAGCGGAGCCACCTCAGTTCCTGGCTTAAAGGGTATCCAAGGGCTACAGTCTCAGGGGTTTCACCAGTCTCTATCAGACCAGTAAGCCAGGTCTTTTTATTTGAGTTTTGTTCTACATTTTTCCCACTTTATTTAGGACCCCTATTTGATCCTTTCAGAGCAGTCAGCAGTGACAGCTGGGCACCATCTAGTTCCTCTGGTCGTGGAGGCTGAGATGGACTGTTGGACTGTTTCCTTGTGTCTTTCATTTTCATCACGCTTCACTGCAGACAGGAGAGACCAGTAGTTGGGCTTTAGGTGGATGCTCACAAGCTTTTAAGACCCCAGTCACTACCCACCAGAGAAGGACACAGAGCACCATCTCTGTGGACTGTGTTATGCCACTTGACTTTAGTGTCCCCCGAGACTGTGGTCCTCAGCTCCCATGCCCAGCAACTCATTCATTCAGGGTGTTTGGTTCTGACTAAGAAGTAGTCATTAACTGGTGAACACTTAAGATTTGGATTCTTCTTCTCAAGGTCCTTCTCCTAAAAGTGTGTAAGTTAATACTCATAAGGAAAGAAAGAATCTTGCTTGGAAAACGTAGATGCCTGTTTATTTTTGTTAAATTCCAACTTCCAACACTCTTCCCACCCCTTACAAATTTTCCTGTTTGCTTAAATACCATGCTCAGATGATCTTCCATTCTGTCCCCCAGCCCAGAAAAATTACATGGCATTTCTTGACTCTCAGACAGCCACATTCAGTCGCCATAAGAGACGTTTATCGGTGGTTCGAGAGCTTAAGGAGCAAGCACAGCAGGTGAATCTGGGTGAGTGTCTGCGTGAAGACTGTTGACGTTTGGGGGCAGGGGGGCAACATCACAGTTTGTCTTAGCTGCTTGGTGCCCCCTGCGATTTGATGAGTCTCCATGGGGAAGTCTGAGGCCTCTGTGAAACCCTTAGGGGCTTTGCATGTTCACATGTGCAGAGGGAGGGCTGATCGTGACCATGAGTGACGGGCTCTGCCCCAAATCCTACCACCGCCTCCAACCAGAGCAGCTGACCAAGTCTGTTTAGGAAATGAATTTCCTCATTTCCAGAGGTCCCTTGGCCAAAAAATAAAACAAAAAAAAGTTTGGTAAGCTGCTGGTTTGCAGTGATGGTAGCTGTATGTAAGATCTCATTTTGTTCTGAGATGAGCTTGTGTCAGTTTTACCCCTCCTTCGGCATGCCCCCATTGACTGTCTTTCATTCACCCACTGAAGGGAGACCTGCATTAACGGGGTGTTCCCACTGTGCATCTGGTTCTGCTTTTCTAGATGATGAGGGGCTCCATGGTCAAGAGTCGGACCTCTTCTCTGAAACAAGCAGTGTCATGACTGCCAGTGACGTGAGTGGCAGATACTCACACAGCAACTCCAGGATATCGGCGTATGTATCTTGTTAACTCAGCATGGTTGCCATCTCCTAGGTGTATGGAGAAAGTACAAGCAAATAGGTTGGTTTTCCACCCGGAAAGTGAGGCAGGAGTGAACAGACTTTATACAGGCATCATGGGAGCTGTGTAAGGACTTTTTGCCAGCGTATCTGAGAGGTCATGCTCGCTCTGCAGCTCTTTTGTTTGCCCACCTGTCAGGCACTGGCACTGGTTCTCATTTACATACCGTCTGATTTCACTCATTGGACAAGTTGTTGAGTAACTATGATATGTAGACATTGAAGAAGGGAAAGATTTTATAATAATAATGATTTCAGGCTTCTTTGATTCAAAGTCAGAATTGAAAGAAGTTATAAATATAAAATAAATCACTGTTCTTTATCCCAGCATTGCAACGTCAGACCCTTCTGTGTATGTAGCTGTGCGCTGGTATGGTACCAGCATCTAACTGATGAGATAGGAGGTACAAGAGCTTATGGTCCTGCTTAGGAGATAGGAATGCAAGACTGTATGTTTAACTGGGATTTTGCTTAAGAAGTCAGAATGGAGACCTGTGAGGTTTTGTGGGTGATCAGAAGCTTTGTGGGAAAGGGAACTAGGTTTTAGAAGTCAGGGAGAGTGTCAGACAACACTAATGACAGAATTCAAGAGCTCTGAGGTAGGAAAAGGAACTGTAGTGGCGCATTGATTAAAGCATTGGGCTGTTAACCAAAAGGTTGGCAGTTTGACCTCACCAGGTGCTCTGTGGGAGAAAGATGAGGCTGTCTGCTTCTCTAGAGATTGACAACCTTGGGGACCCTGTTTGGGACAGTTCTTCTCTGTCCTGTAGGGTCACTATGAGTCAGAGTCACCTCAACAGCAGTGAGTGGGTTTTGGAGGCAGGAAAGAATGAGATTTATATATTTATAATATTCTGACTCCAGTCTGGTATGTCTGTCTCATAATTTTTTTCTTTTCCTTCCTTTAAATGTATTTTGTTTTTTTTTATAAAATTCTGTTTGGTTGATCTTCCATTCATTGTTCAGCTCTTATCGGATACAGCCTTACTTTGTTCTGCATCTTAATCAAAACTGTGAGGCAAATTGTCACTTTTTTTAAGGTTTATTTTTCTCAGGGGGTTGTTTTAGAATTTTATTTCCTCCCTATAAGACTTCCCTCTCCCAGTTTTTTTATGTATGGCTTTGAGTCTTGTCACCCTTTCCCCCTGCTAAAGGGGCAGGGAGGCCACCTCTTCTGACCTCCTCTAACCCCACAAGAAGAAGACAGAATCACCTAACAACTATCCCTGCAAGGCCAGACATGCCACCTCCCTCCAGCCCTTTCACCAACCCTGACACCAACCCTTCCTCCCGTAGCACCCACCACCTCTTTGCTGGGTTCGAGAATTCACTGCAGTGGCCACACAGAACTCACAGATTATGGGGTTTATTAGGGAAATAACAGGCTACAGTTCAAGTTCAGGAACTCGCTCAGTCTCTTGCAGCTGGCCATCTCACAGAGCAGCCGGCAGTCTCAGTAAGCACGTCACGCTCTCAGTACTGCGTGTCTCTCGGTGTCTCTCCCAGCAGCATGTGTCTCTCAGGCTCTCAGCAGCATGTGTCTCTTGCATCTCTCTCTCAGCAGCGCGTGTCTCTCTCTTCTCTCAGCTAGCAGTGAGAGAGTCCTTCTGCCTCTAGGAGGGCTCCTTTTGAGCCTGGCGGAGTGACCAAACCCACCAATCCCAACAGCAGAATTCTGTACATGAGAGAGAGACAGGGACAGACAGAGACAGAGAGAGAACTTCCCAGAAGATTGCTTCCTGCCGCTCCCAGGTGGATAACTTTAACAATCAAGAGCTACTCAGTTGCTCACGGCAAATTCCACCATGGAGTTCACAAAGACTTGTGGCCAGAAAAGCCACATTATGTAATTTACTACACTGCAGCCCCCAGATACCATTTCCAGGCTCTCTAGTTTCCTAGAAAGGCGGTGGCCAGCAGATGCATTCATTCAGTCCTGTCAGCACAAGGAGCACCCCGTTTAAACATTTCTGATCTCAAATAGGCGATCGTCTAAGAACCGCCGCAAAGCCGAGCGGAAGAAGCACAGCCTCAAAGAAGGGAGTCCGCTGGAGGAGCAGGCCCTTTTGGAGGCCTTGAAGGAGGTGGTGCAGAGCATTGAGAAGCTGAAAGGTAGATTCTCAGTACCAGTACTGACTCTTGCTCACAAAGAGTCGTGAACAGGCCGTGCAGACAGGCAGAGGTCAGTAGGTAGGATGCGGTTTCCAGCTGGAGAAGGCACAGAAAACTTGGAGCAGGAAGGGTCATTTCAGGGCACACATCCTGAAACAGCCCTTCTCGGCTGTTCTGTCTGGCATCCACCAGACCAGACTGGGAGAGATGAGCACTGAAGCTGGGATGAAGGGTTGTGGAGATGCTGCTTCCTGCCTGGCCCCAGTGTGTGTGTGTGGTGGTCTTTTATAGTAGGTGTGCTGGATTCTCCTGGCACTTGGGAAGAAAGGAGAAAATGGGGGAGCTGGCAGCAGTCGTGCACTGTTAGATACTTTTTGCTTGGCAAGGAACCTGGCTGGTACTAGCCGTGGGGCTGGGATTCAGCTTACCAGCGTGTCTGATTTCTTCTCTCTAGATGAGATGTACCATATTTTGAAGGTGCTGTTTCTCTTTGCATTTGATGAACAAGCAAAGGAATTACAAAAGGCCTTTGAAGATGCCTTGCAGCTGATAGAAAAGTCACTTCCAGAAATTTGGACTGTGACCCATCAGCAGAATTCAGCCACACCTGTAAGTCTCCTCAAAGACAGAGTGTATGCTTGTTCATCATTTACACAAGTTACTGCAATCACACCGTTCCTTAAAAGTCAAAAGCAGAACTCTACTGTTCTCAAAACTGAGTATGTCCAGGTTATCTCAGGTTTATCGTTCAGCTGTCAGTAAGAAGGTTTACATTTGATTGTACCATGACTCCTGATCCATCAGGCATAGGCTAAGAGAGCTGTTAGCTCCTATCTAGACCAGGCCGCTGTCCTGGAGAACATGGGATCGTCACTAGGTTGTCCCAGGCCTTCAGCTATGTTGGTGGGAGGGCGAGGGCCAGAGTCAGGGCCTCTCACCTCCCATTTGGGAACTCGTGGATGGGATCAGAGTTCTTTAAAGGAACCCCAGACAGTTACTTTTCCTTTTGTTGTGTGGGAAATTTGACTTGTCACTGGTACTGTGATACTGTGATAAGCTTTGCTAGTGAAGGTATCCTATCCCATCAAGAATTCTAAGGCATCACAATCTATTTGTTGTTTACACCTCTGCTCAGCCCTCACACCTCAGGCTTATTGTTAGGAGTTTGCATTTGGATTTGGAAAGGCTGTTGAGTCAGTCAGGGTCCGCTCAGACAGAAACCACACCAGTTATCAGGGAGTGACTTGGAATTGGTTGGGCACCTCTGGGAGGGCTGGGAAAGCAGAAGGGGGGTGTGGAGCAGCAGTGGTGAGACAGGGCTGGAGGAAGCAGCTTGTTCCCCCAGGGCTGGGCGGATTGTTAGAGTTCCGAGGCTCAGAGGTGGGGCCTTGCTGAGCTGGGAATTAGACCTCCTAGAAGGAGTCACCGGGGAGCTCTGGTAGCATAGTGGCTAAGGCACTTGACTGTTCACCAGAAGGCAGGCGGTTCAAACCCACCAGCCACTCCTCGGAAGGAAGGTTGGGCAATCCTACTTCCATAGTGATATCGCCTCAGAAACCCAAGGAGGGGTCGCTATGAGTCGGGCTGACTCGACGGCAAACAACAACAACAACAGAAGGAGTCACCAACCAGTTGCTGATATTTCTGAGGGCACATGATGAGGCTGCTTCTGAGTGAGGAAGTAAATAGAAAAGAGTGAACTAGCTGGTGCCAGGCTCCAGAGCTGCTACCAGGAGTTGGAAGAAAGCAAGCCAATGAAGGACCCGCTCTTCCTCCTCTAGGCCTGCCCTCTCCCTCTGGCGTCCCCTGTGACAGAGCAGAACCAGGGGCCAGTTAGCAAAGGAGAAATGTTTGTTCAGGCTCCTCGTCCTGGCATCATAAGCTGTGTGTAGAAGGGTGGGCTTGGAGCTGAGGGATGAAAGGTTAGTAATCAACCCACTGGTTACAAACCCGTAAGCTTATTGACTCTCAGTGGCCTCCATTGTAAAGGGGGTCATGTTTTCCCCCTGTGGTTCACTGGAACGTTTTGAAAGTTAGAAAAGAGGGTAGACTTCAAAGCTCTTTGTAGGCCACAGAAATAAAAGTAACGAAGAATCTCAACCCATTGCCATTGAGTCGATTCCAACTCACAGCAACCCTATAGGACAGAGTAGAGCTGCCCCCTAGGGTTTCTAAAACTAATGTTTATTGAAGCAGACTGCAACTTCTTTCTCCTGTGGAGTAGCTGGTGATTGGGAACTGCCAGTGTTAAGGTTAGCAACTAGGCAAGTAACCACTGCACCACCCAACCAGAACCAAACCAAACTCACTGCCTTCGGGTCCTAGTGAGCCCCATTGGGTTTCTAAAGCTGTAAATCTTTACAGAAGTGGACAGCCTCATGTTTCTTCCATGGAGTGGCTGGTGGGTTCAAACCACCAACCTTTTGGTTAGCAGCCAAATGCCTTAACCACTGCACCACCAGGAGCCCGCAAATACGTGAATTCACTGTAATGTGTATTTTGTAGAGAAAATGTAATAATCATCTTTAAATTGTAGTGATTTTGAAGCTAAGGGCATACCACCCCCATGCCCTTCCCTACCCTCTACTATTTAAATCACATTAACTTCTAAGATACCAGCTTTATGAATCTTACAGAGAAAATGACCAGCAAACTTGTATTTTTGTTTTGGTTGTTAGTGTCTGGTGATGGCATGTGTGTGACACCAGGAGGCAGGTGGAAGGGCTTTAGGCACATGCATTGCTTCTGGGCACTTACCGTCACAGGACTGCATGCAGGGATGAGCAGAGACGCACCAGGGAGTGGTGGTTGGGGCCCCACGAGGCTAGCTGCCAGCGTGACACCCTGTGCAGGCTCTTGTCCTGCCTTGAAAACGTGTGCAGGTTTTGCTTTCTACCCTGTAACATGCGTGTTTTTGCTCATAAAGAACTATCTGTTCCCTCTAAGCCTCTGGGTACAGTGATGCTCCCGGGTGTTCCGTAGTCCTTGTACTGCTCCCCTCCGCTCGGGACGGACTGCCCATTTGCAAAGGGCCAAGCGTATGCCCTGGCGGATTTCCTTCTTATGTTGTCATTACCTTATTGTTGTGACAAAAAGGAGATTTAGAGACCTGAGATGAGACTGTGGAGAAACTGGTGAATTAAAATTACATGGGAAGAGAGTGACAGTGTTAGATACCACACCAGTGAAAAGTGAAAGCTTCTGTGACGGGCTGTTTACTGCTGGTAGGGATTTGGCCTTGGTATGTTTAGTGATTAGAAGTATGAGACAAGGTTTACTGATCCAGTCTGCTTCCTCCTTAGGTTCTAGGTCCCAATTCAACTGCAAACAGCATCATGGCCTCCTATCAACAGCAGAAGACTCCAGCCCCTGTTCTTGGTTAGTATCTATGATCCTCTATAGATCATTACAGCACTACGCAGAGGGAGTATTGTTCTCTAAGTGTTGAGAAGGTCAACAGTGTAAGGATAGGTTGTGATTTAACTACAATTTTCTTTCAATTCTAAGATGTTATCTTTAGTAAGACATCAGTTGAATGGTTCTGGTGGTGGAAGCGGGCTGGGGAGAAACCAACACGACATTAAATGTACAGTTGTTGGGAAAATTTTACTGATACTGGCATACTTTGGTCCACACACATGTGTGGCTTAAAGTTTGAGTCTAAAGAGTGCACACTGACGTCCCAAACATGCTTCTGAGTTGTCATTATTGATGATTGGCAGTTACACATTGTATCTTGGGGACATTCCATAATCCTTATTTTTGCTGTAGACTGTTTTATCTCCTTCAGGCTTAACAGTATAATTTGAAGACGTGCCCATAGAACTTTAGCATTGCATGTGTGTTACATATTTAGTTATACTGGAAACGTTTATCTTGCATGTTTGTGGGGGGTAAGGTGATTCTCAATGAGGTTATTTATCCCTAAGTTAAAACACCCTAATGCTGTTTTTCAGAAAGTTGACTGGTCAACTTGGTGCCTGAGTGTTTGCCCTTGAGATGGGTTAGTCAAGCTTTCCAGCCCCTCTTAGCCTTCAAAAGGCTACCCATTCTAAAGTAATAGGTAGTTTTCATGGTTGTTAGTTGCATTGTCTAGCATTTACGGGTGGTGTTCTGAAATGTTTTTGTTTAAATGCTGCCCTGTAATATTAGCATTTGATGACATCTGAAATAGCTTTTGGGGACTCAAATGAAGCTCACCTTGAACAACCCAGTGTTGCGTCCAGGGATGAACAGCTGCCTTCCGTCTCAGTGGACCTCATCCATCCTGACAATGACCACTGTGTCCCTAGCTCCCCTTCTTCCTAGAGACTGGCAAGCTTCTGTTGGATCAATCCCAAGATACTTACTTCCTTCCAAATCCTAAACGTTGGTCTTAGACGTGGGGCAGTTTGGTAATTGTCCAGTTTGTGCTGCTGCCGATCCAGTTGTGATTTCTGCCCCTTGTGTTTTACGCTGCTGGCCTGATGGGAAGCTTCAGGTCAGACCTGTCACACTTTTCCCTGGAATGTTCTAGATGCTTTTACCACATCACAGAACACTTCCTTTTTCCAGCTGAGCCTTAAGACTCTCTGAGAGCTGGGGGACCTTCTTGGTTGCATGGCTGTGGAGGAAAAGGGAAGGTCTAATCCAAAAACGGGCACAGAGCATCAGCCCCACTCAGCTGTTCCCCAGCTCTCAGTAGGTAAGCCTGTTCACACCTCCCATGAACAGGATCAGCTCTCAGTAAGCCTGTTCACACCTCCCCATGAACAGGATGAGCTCTCAGTAGGTAAGCCTGTTCACACCTCCCATGAACAGGATCAGCTCTCAGTAGGTAAGCCTGTTCACACCTCCCCATGAACAGGATCAG